CGCGGTGCCTCCTCTGTGTCAGCTCAGTCTGCCGTCCACGGGTCCACGTGCAGCTAGGCCCCCGTCAGTCTGGCACCGGTGCTCCCTCCTCACTCTGTGGTCCTGGCTGCCGCTGTCTTGAGCTCCGCACGGCACTGCAGCATCGCTCTGCTCTCCACCAGGAAGGTTCAGCTGCGTCTGACCATCCCCCCCATTCCTGCACCAGGGACACCCTGCAGTGTGGCCCCAGGTGAGGCTCTAGGATGGGGCCTCAGTCTGCCCCTCAGTCCCTGGAAGGTGAGCTTTGCCCAGAAGTTTGCAGGACTCAGCCGGCAGCTCCCACCTTCCCCAGCACGCAAGTCATGCACACAGGACCCACCTCACCCATGTACACAACTCGTCTTGTCTCACTCGTGCCATTTCATACACACGCACACATGCACACGTGCCCGCCTCACAGTCACACCACACACACATGCACACCCTTGTTCACCTCACACCTGTGCACGCTTCTTACATGTACTAATTCACACGCACAGCCCACACAATAGACAACACCTACACACACAGACTGACACAGACAGAAGGAGGGGGCTAGCCTGTCAAGAGCCCCCGGCTGTACTGTGGCCAGGCCAGGCAGGCTGCCCCGGGCACCCCTCCCTGCTGCCAGCCCAGGCCCTGTACCTTGCCCTCCGATGCCGGCTCCAGCTTCTTGGACGGCAGTTCCGCATAGACCTGCCCAGCATGGGCCACTGGAGGCTGGGACCTGGCCGCCCCTGGGGAGGAGAGGGCACGGTGGGCCAAGGGCTGCTCAAAGGCTACCTGTCAGCCAGGACAGTGGTGCTGCGTCCTTGCTCTTACCTGCTGACCCCTCCAGAGGCTTCACGGGGCTGTCCCCGGGGCTAGACTCGGAGATGGACTTCTGGGAGAGCACTGTTGCCAAGAGCTGCAACCCAGACAGATCAGCTGGCCAGCGCTGCTCTGGGCCCAGGCCGCCCCGGCCCCGTCACCACCCCACCTACCTTGACCCCTTCAGAGCCTGCGTGCAGGCTGTGGGCCCCGCTGCTCCGGCCAACAGCCACACTGCTCAAGCTGCCACTGCGGTCCCCACCTGCCAGCGCAAGGGAGCATCAGCCAGCGCTGGCCCCGCCTCGCTTGGGAGCTGCCCTGCCCTCCAGAGGCCCCCACCTACCTGCAAAAGGCTTCCTCAGCACCCAGATCTCCTCAGGGGGTGCAGAGGGTCCCGGCAAGCTGCCTCCCTGAGGTGAGCTTTGCTCAGCACCTGCTCGGGAACCTGTGGGCCAACCATAGCCTCCCTGAGTATTGGACCAGCCCAGGCCTGGGAGCCAGACACCGAAAGGAGGGTGTCCCCTGGCCCAGCCCCAAGCCTAGGTAGAGGCCCAACACATGCACAACAGTCTCCTCCTGTCCTGAGAGCCCTTAGAAGACCCCCTCCCCACACCGGACGTTGGAGAGCAGGAGCATGTGGCAGAGAGGAGCCCACGCCAGGCTATCCGGCCAGCTTACCAGTGGCCCTGTGGTCCTGTTGGGGGGGTGGGTGCAGGTTGCCAGAGGGTGAAACCTCCTCTGTGCCAGGGGAACAGCGGGGAGGAAAGAGGCACCCAGGAGCCTGGGGCGAGGCTCTCCACCCCAGGAGAACTAGTGGTCCAGTTAGATGGGTAGACTAGCCACATCGCCTAACTGGACCACTCTCTCTTTCATCCCACCTGTCCACCTCTGTGATCTCACCAGTCCCCTGCCTGAAACCACTCGGTGGCCCTGTGGCCATGTCCTCACCCCCCTCCCTCTCCCTAACTCTGCGCCAGCCATGCTGGCCTCCTATGGACCCTTACACACATCACGGTCTTTCCTGCCTCAGTGCCTTTGCACATGTGGTTCCCACTGCCTGGATTGCTCTGCCTGTAGCCAGTCCCTCCCATTTATCAGGGCCTTCTCTGGCCACCACATCTAAAGCAGGTCTCCATCCACATTCTGTGCCATTGGCTGGTGTGTTTCATTCTGTGGTTACTTCACTGTCCCCTGCTCCCCTCCCTCCCTGGGGGCAAGCTCCTTGAAAGCAGGACTGATGTCCATCTGAGTCGCCATCTATTCCTAGTGGTCAGTGTGCAATGTCGGTTGAATAAATGAAGGAATGGGCATGAGGACACTGAGGAGACAGCTGGCAGGACACACTTCTGAACACCACTTTGGACCCTGCACCTAGCCATGGCTAGAGCTCGGTCCTTGCCCTGCCATCCAACACACATGTGCACTTCCTCCCTTCTGGCCCCCAAGCCCAGACCTGGGTAGGACTTGCCTGCTCGCTTGACAATGGCCTCACCCAGGGAGGATGGGAAGTAGCCCACCCGGTCATTGCCTGTCCGGTTGTCATGGATACAGCCCTTCCATCGGCCATCTGGATGCTGTTCAAGGACCTGGCCAGATGAGGTGGGGAGAGCACACGCAGGGAGACTTCTGGGTCAACTGGCTCCCCAATCGCTGAGGGGGAATGTGGGGTGAGCATCCCAGCTCCACAGCCCCAGGCCATCCTTACTGTGATGATATCCCCGGCTTTCACGTTGAGGCTGGTCAGGTCATAGTTGTTGCAATAATCTTGGGTCGCCCGGACCTGCAGAGCCGCCGAGGCCTCTGGGGACACAGGAGGTAGACTCCCCAGTCCTTCGAACCAGCCTGGCCCAGGCCCCGCCCCGGACCCTCTGCCCGACCTGGGCCCACCTCGCAGCAGCTGCTTGATCTCCTTGCTGGCCTGTGACGTGGTGAACTGGTGCACGATGTCCAGGGCCGTCTGGCTGTACGTGTTCCTCACGTGGGCATTGATCCCGTTCTGCAGGGGCCAGGAGGGGAGGTCTGTCAAGAGCACCCCGTTCTCCCAACCCTGCCTTGGACCCAGCTCCCCCTGGGCCTCCAACTCACGTCCAGCAGCAGCCGAACCACTTCTGTCTTCCCACAGAGCGCAGCCTCGTGCAGGGCTGTGCCGGCCTTGGTCTGGCGGTTAATGTCAATGCCAGCTTGGAGCAGGAGTCTGGCGGGAAGGCCGGGGGAGCGGGCGGGGCCTACAGCAGGAGCCCTCGGCCCCAGCACCCCAAAGCTGAGCCCCGATTTCCAAGGGCCTAAGGATTGACCAGCCCTACCCATCTCCCTGACAACGTACCTGACAGTGACGAAGCACTTGTGGAAGTGCCCGCCCTGTGCTAACCCTTCACAGCAGCTACCTCGTCTTTTCCCACTGGCTCTGCTGTGAGGCCCATGGGAACACTGAGGCCCAGAGAGGTTCAGTGTATCCGCGAAGTCACCCAGCGAGTGACAGGACTGCAGCAGAGCCCCGGCTATGTGGCTATCCATGCCCACTCCCACCCCATTCTAGCACATCCCTCGTGTGGGTAGCTGGAGGTGCCCGGGGCATCCAGAGGCCATAGCTCCGAGACTGCTCCCATCTTATCACCAAGCCAGGAGCAGAGCCCCAGAGCTGGGAACCCCACCCCCACAGCACCGTACCTGATGATGTCAATGTGGCCGTTCTTGGCTGCCAGGTGCAAGGGGCTGGTTCCATTGGGGTCGGTGGTGTCCCCCGGCCGGGGCTCCAGCAAGGCTGTGCACATGTTGCTGCTCAGGAGCAGCTGGACCACCTTGAAGGAGGGGTCAGAGTAGGGGGCACCCAGAAACAGGCCAGGGGGTTGCAGGTCTGTCCCCAACTCCAACCCCAGAAGAGGCAGCAGAGCAGATGGAGTGGCTCTCAGCTCCTGGGAGACTTACCCCAACACGGCCGAACTCGCAGGCCAGGTCCAGAGGCGTCTTCCCGGCGCTGTCCACCATGCACGGGTTCGACTGGTGCTGCAGCAGCATCTCGGACTGCGGGTGCGGAGCGCATTCAGCCCCGTGCTGCCAGGCTCGCGCCTCCCACACGCGTAACCCCCCGCGGTGGTCCTCACCACATCGTAGTGACCGTGCTGGGCCGCTAGGTGGAGGGGGATGTGGCCCTCGTCTGATGGGATGTTCACCGCTGAGCCTGCCTTTAGCACCAGCTTCATGGGCTCCTTCCGGCCCTGCCAGGCCGCATAGTGCAGTGGCCGCATGCCTGGGGGCAGGCAGGAGCCACTGGGAGCTGGTCTCTCACCCTGGGCCCACCCCTGACCTCTAGGGTGCAGAGCCCATGAGGACCTGCCTAGACCCAGCCTGAGACCCTGGGTGGAGACCTCAATTGAAGAACCATCCAGTCCTCAAGGGACCCCTGATCTCAACCCACCCCCTGGCTCTGAGGTCCCTGACAGGCCTTGCCTTTGTTGTCCTTGATGTCTACGGCAGCCTGGGCCTCCAGCAGCAGGGTGATCAATTCCGTGTTGCCATTCAGGGCCGCGTGGTGCAGGGCAGAGAAGCTGGGACAGGTGACAGACACGTATGGGTAGGGACTCAGGCACCCAGCCTCCCCCAGAAGCCCTTTGGCCCCCATCCCATCTGGCATTGCCCTGCCTGAGAACTCACCCATCCGGGTCCTGAAAGTTGACATTGATCTTCTTGGTGGAGCCCAGGAGCTCTGGGAGTGGGAAGGAGACACAAGTGAGCTGGAGGCTCTGCCCAGCCCCTCCCGCAGTCAGCCCGGGCCCTAGCCCACTCCCGCAGCTTAAAAGCAGGCAGAGGGTGCTAGCTGGCTCCCTGGCAGGCTCCGAGCCAAAGCTATCTAAGTGTTTAGTCTGAAAAACATTCATTCACTCACTCAACTCTGTTCCCTGCACTCAGCTCCAGCTCTTTAGACCTTGGTTTCCCACTAAACTAAGATGTTGGGAGGTTCGCAGGTCCAAGGTCTCAGGCCTGGCCCTGCCTGCGGACAGAAGCCAGGATGGTGCACCCACACAGGCACACACATGTGCACACGCATCCCCGGCCGATAGTGGGAGGGAGGGAGCCGGCCCAATCTGTCTTTCAGAAGGACCCAGATGGGCTGGGGGTGGCCCGGGAAGGCTGGGACATCAGAAATGAGGGTATCTCTGAGGGAAGATCTGCCTCTCCACGATGCAGCCTCCCCCACGCCCAGCCTTGGGGCTGGCCAGCGTACATGAGCCCCACTCAGCAGGGCAGGAAGGGAAGGAAGGCGATTGTGCCAGTGCCTCTGAGTGGCCACCTCATATACAGGCTCCAGGGCACACTCAGGTCCTAGGCTCACCACCGGAAGTCCGAGGGGCCCAAGTCCTCCCTTCAGAGCTCTAGTCTCCTCCTGGGGCCCCCAGAAGCTGCCTGCCAAAAGGAGGGGGGCCCTCCGACACCCTCCCCGTGGGCTCAGGTCCAGCCAGACTCGGGCCAAGCCCCTGCCTGTGGAGGCCGTGGTTACATAACCTATTTGTGGGTCAGTTGCTCTGTGAGGGAGGGAGGGGCTGGCAGGACAGAAGCCCCTTTGTCCAGGCCCAGGGCAGGGATGGGGGCAGGGGGGCCCAAGGACAGGGAACCAAGGGAGTCGAGGCACAGAGGGGCTGCTGCAGGGCAGCCCAGTGCGGGGTGTAGGTCCCCCAATGGCCCACAAAGCGCACAAAGTCAGGCCCAAATCCGAACTCTTACTCTGCCCCTCATACTACCCCTCTGGCCTCGGCAATGAGCTCGAGGGGAGCTAACAAGGCTGGCCTCGGAGACCTAAGGACGTTTCCAGACAGAAAGCATGAAGCGTTCGGCAAGGAGTCGGCTCAGTAAGTGGCGATGACTAATATTAGCTCTATGGGAACCCCACCCACACCCTCCAGTGATGGGGGGCTTCTCCTGCCCAGAGCAGAGGCTCCAGGAAGAGAGGCCTCACCCCTCCCTGCCCCTGCCCTCTGCTCCGACAATGCTGGTGCTGAAATCCATCTGTCTCCGCAGCAATGCCACCCTTCCTCAGTGGTCCAGGCCAAACCCTGGGTCCCTCCTTGACTCCCCTAAATCTCCTCCGTCGGTGAATCCCGCTGGCTCTGTCTTTAAGGCACTCCCCGAGCACACTCAGGGTCCACCACTTCTCACCACCCTGGGCCGGGCCAGCATCTCCAGAGGAATCACTGCTATCACCTCTCCATGGTGCCCTCACTCCCCTTGGCTCCCTTCAGTCCACCCTCCATCCCCGCGGGAGCCCTGCCAGAACTCGGTCCGATCCGATGCCTCTGCTCCTCTCCGGAGACCCCCCCAACGGCACCCGTCTCACCAGACAGCGGCTCTGCATGATGCGGCCCTTGGGCTTCCTCAGCACATATGGCGCTCCAGCACACTGGCCACCCTGCCACTGCCACTGCACATGTTACATACGTGTGTGAGGCTCTTCTCCCTCCAGTTATTCCTAATCTCATGTCCTTTAGGTCTTTATCCACATGTCACCTGCTCGGTCTCCCCATCTAAAGCAGTAACCCCCCACCCACCCCGTGTCTGCTGTAGATTTCTCCTTAGCCCCCATCACCACCATTGACCTGGTTCATTGTCCATCTCCGTCACTGAACTACTGGCTCCAAGAGGACCAGGTTTTATTTGCTCACTGCTGTATCCTTGGTGGCCGAAACAGCGCCGGGTACACACAAGGTGCTCAGTAAATCAGAGACTGAAGTCATATCCTAGTCCCACACTCTGTCCACCTGCCAGGGCCAGTGTCAGGCATGTGACCTGCAGTCACGCCGAAGGGCCCCCCATTTGGTTGGATGCTCTGCTTGTCGTCATCTTAAATTCTTTTGTTGTTGTTGTTGCTGTTCCCATAGAAAAATTTTATTGACTCAAAGGGAAATCTCTGAAAAATGTACTAACCTTTTCCTAATAAATATTATGGGATTTCTAAGCCTACATTATGCTCAATACTTTTATCTGTTTACAGAGTGCTGTCTTCAGCTCTTTGAACAATTTTTTTGGAAGCTGCACTGTGAGAGTACAGTGGGGCCTTGACTTACGAGTGTCCTGACGAACGAGTTTTTTGAGATACCAGCTGTCTCTCGGCCGATTTTTTGCATCGAATTGATAAGAGTAATTTGAGTTAACGAGCTCCTTAACAAGCTCGGTCTCAGAACGAATTAAACTCATAAGTCAAGGCCCCACTGTATATTAGGATAACTCTGACTAACGAGATACAATACAGCCCTAACCGGTTTGGCTCAGTGGATCGTCGGCCTGTGGACTGAAAGGTCCCAGGTTCGATTCCGGTCAAGGGCATGTACCTTGGTTGCAGGCACATCCCCAGTAGGGGGTGTGCAGGAGGCAGCTGATCGATGTTTCTCTCTCATCGATGTTTCTAACTCTCTATCCCTCTCTCTTCCTCTCTGTAAAAAATCAATAAAATGTATTTAAAAATAAAAAAAATAGATACACTACAAATGAAGAGATGTTTTATTCCTTAACTTTGAAACCTCCCTTATTTCTGGCCTATTATAGAACACATATCTGCAGCTGTTCATTCACACTGCTATTTTAAATTCTGAATTTTGGACAAGGCACCCATGTTGCACTGGGCCCTATGCTGCAGTGCCTTATTACGTTGAAGACAGTGATGCCTTGCCTCCACACACACCTTGCCCAATCTGAATGTTTGCCACCTTCCACTTTTCTTAGTTCCAGTTCTTAGTAGCCAGTTCTCAGCTTCTCCAGCAAGACTTCCCAGTCCGGCCCCCTTTCCTCCCTCCCACAGCAGACGCCTTCCAGGCAGCGGCTGAGCCAGGTCCATACTTGTGGAAATTTCAGAGGGGCTGGAGGTCAAGGCCCAGGAAGTGACTCAGTCCCAAAGGGGATCACTCCCCCCATGAGGAGGGGCATCAGGGTAAGGTCATCTCACCCTTCTCCCTGCCACTGGTCTCCTCAAAGAGGAAAACAGCTGGAATTGGATGGAGGGGAGCTTGAGGTTTTGGAATAGTCACCTGATTCCTATGGGGGACACTGAGCACGGAGGAAGGTCCTAGAACTGAACCCTGCATGGGACAGGGAGGCTGAACCAGGTGGAGACAGGTGCTCTGAATGAAGCTGGAGCAGAGCATGGCTCCGGGGGGGAGGAGGGGGTGTCTCGGTAAGGGTGAGATAAGGGGCAAGTGGGGACCAAGTTGAAAGTCTTAGGCGCCCCCTTTCCCTTTCCACAAGGGCACTGAGCCTATGGATTCCGCATCAGTAACAGCGCATACACTTCGCCCCCCCCTCACCCCTCCACATGACTTCAGTCTCTGAGCACCTCTGACCTCTAACTGCTCTCCTGGAACCATCTCTACCTTTGAGGTCAGCTCCAAACTCAAGGCTGCAGAGGCCCCGCCCCTCTCCACCCTCATGGCCTCCCTGTACCCCTCTGCCCAGATGCTCCTCCAACTACAGAGGCCTCTTACAGGCCGCCCCATGGAGCTACTTCTTCCCCTACAGCAGCGGTTCTCCACCTGTGGGTCGCGACCCCTTTGGGGGTCGAACGACCCTTTCACAGGGGTCGCCTAAGACCATCGGAAAACACATCTATAATTATATATTGTTTTTGTGATGAATCACTATGCTTTCATTATGTTCCATTTGTAACAATGAAACTGGGGGTCACCACAACACGAGGAACTGTATTAAAGGGTCGCGGCATTAGGAAGGTTGAGAACCACTGCCCTAGAGGGATGTGGTCGTGGTCTCCGGTCCCATCTCAGAGTAGCTGAGCCCTGTGGCCTCCCTGGGGCAAGGTACCCTCCCAGCTTCTCCAGGGAAGCAGGGCCATTGCTTGCCATCTACCACTTTTGTTAGTTCCAGTCCAGCCCCCTTTCCAACGGTCCCCAGGCAGGGGACTCTAGGTCAGATGCTGGAGCGGAACGAATAGTGGGCCAAGGTGAGAGAACACAGGAGCACTGGCCTGTAATTTTCAGGAAACTCAGAAAGGGCAAGTTGGGCCAGAAGGAAGGGCAGGGTATCCCCCGCCCAGCATTAGGCCAGCCCCCACCCAGTATTTTCCCTTCTTCCCCTCAAAGACAAGTGCTAAGGATGCTAGTTCCTGTGTGTGTAAAAGGAGGTGCCCTTCAAGGTGGGATGGGGGGTTGACCGAGCCTGAGGCCACACTGGGGGGCTGGGGCCAAGGGGAGGTGCCAGCACAGGAAGGAGATCATGGGAACAAGGTTATGAAAATACCTCTGGAGTCTAGTGGGCCCTACGGAGCACTGCTGGGTGCCCCCCACCCCGTGGCCCAAACTCCAGCTGTACTTTGCTGAATCAAAATACATCTTACTCCAAAGCAGGCCAGCGTTGTCATGACGACTGAGCTAATTCATGGAGGGATTTCTCCGTCTGACTTATTAAGCCCGCTCCTGTGAGTCAGAGCCCAGAGCCCAGTCCAGGCAGGGGTGTAGGTACAGACCCAGGTGAGACCCAGGTAAAGGTAAAAGTCCCTGCACCTTCCCCCAAGGGGCCGGAGGAGACGGGAGGAGGAACCTCCAAATCTGACGCTCCCACTTCCCTGGCCTGGCCACCCTGGGCTGAGGAGACGGTCCCAGTCAGTGCTTCCCGAGCACTTAGTAAGAGCTGAGCCTCATGTTGGCTCCCTCACTATTCCCACGACAACGCCAGGAGCAGGCACCAGGAATATCCCCGTCCTGCAGACGCGCTTGGGGAGCTGGAGTTGTTTATGTACAAGGTGGCACGACCACTAGGTGGAAGTCTTGACCTTGCCTTCCACTTCTCAATCCCTCCACCTGCTTTCGAGGCTCAGTCTCCTCGAAATCCTGAGACCCTGAAGGCAGCCCCAGCCGGGCGTGGAGGGCCAGGCCAGCCCGGGTATGTGTGCCTGCGAGGCACAGCTGTGCAGCTCTCTGATTGCACAGAGCA